CGGGGTTTCGCCATGTTGGCCAGGCTGGTCTTGAACCCCTGACCTCAGGTGATCCACCCACTTCAGTCTCCCAAAGTGCTAGGATTATAGGCATGAGCCACCACGCCCAGCCTTCTTTAAGGCAGGGTCTCACTCTGTTGCCCAGGCTGGAGTGCAGTGGCATGATCATGGCTCACTGCAACCTCCACCTCCTGGGCTCAAGCAATCCTCCCACCTCAGCCTCCTGAGTAGCTGGGACTACAGGCATGTACCACCACACCCTGCTAATTTGCATATTTTTTTTAGAGATGGGGTTTCATCATGTTGCCCAGGCTGGTCTCGAATTCTTGCGCTCAAGCAATCCTCCCTCTATGCCTTGCAAAATGCTGGCATTACAGGCGTGAACCACTGTGCATGGCCAATGTGTTTTTGTCAGTGGTTACTGCTTTTCATGTTCTATCCAAGAAATCTTTGCCTATCTCAAGGTTTTGAAGATATTTTCCTATTTTTTCTGGAAGTTTTATAGATTTAGTGCTTATATTTAGGTCTATGATCTATCTCAAATTTTATAAATAGTATGAGGTAAAGGTCAAGTTTCATCATTTTTCATATAGATATGCAGCTGGTAGAACAGCACCATTTGTTGAAAAGATTTTCCATTCTCAATTATGTTGATGCTCTTGTCAAAAATAAAATCAACTGACTGGCCAAGTACAGTGGCTCATGCCCTCATGCCTGTAATCCCAGCAATTTGGGAAGCCGAGGTGGGCGGATCACCTGAGGTCATGAGTTTGAGACCAGCCTGACCAACATGGAGAAACCCCATTTCTACTGAAAATACAAAAATTAGCCGGGCGTGGTGGCATACACCTGTAATCTCAGCTACTCGGGAGGCTGAGGCAAGAGAATCGCTTGAACCTGGGAGGCAGAGGTTGCAGTGAGCTGAGATCGCACCACTGCACTCCAGCCTGGGCAAGAGTGAGACCCCATCTCAGAAAAAAATTAAAAATATTAAAAAAATAAAAAAGGCCAGGTGCAGTGGAACATGCCTGTAATCCTAGCACTTTGGGAAGCTGAGGTGGGAGGATCATTTGAGCTCAGGAGTTCGAGACTAATCTGGGCAACATAGTGAGACTCTTTCTCTATGAAAAAATTTAAAAATTAGCTGGGCATTGGTGGCATATGCCTGTAATCCCAGCTACTTGGGAGGCTCAGGCATGAGAATTGCTTGAACCCAGGAGGAGGAGGTTGCAGTGAGCCAAGATCACGCCAGTGCACTCCAGCCTGGGCAACAGAGCAAGACTGTATTAAACAAACAAACAAACAAACAAAAAAGCCAGGTGCGTTGGCTCACGTCTATAATCCCAGCACTTTGGGAGGCCAAGGCAGGCAGATCACCAGGTCAAGAGATCAAGACCATCCTGGCCAACATGGTGAAACCCTGTCTCTACTAAAAATACAAAAACTGGCTGGGCATGGTGGCACGCGCCTGTAGTTACAGTTACTAGGGAGGCTAAGGCAGGAGAATCGCTTGATCCCAGGATGCAGAGGTTGCAGTGAGCCGAGACTGTGCCACTGCACTCCAGCCTGGCGACACAGCGAGACTCTGTCTAAAAAAAAAAGAAAAAAGAAAAAAGGCCCGGAACGGTGGCTCATGCCTGTAATCCCGGCACTTTAGGAGGCTGAGGTGGGCGGATCACCTGAGGTCAGGAGTTCAAGACCAGCCTGGTCAACATGGTGAAATCCCATCTCTACTAAAATAAATTAGCCAGGTGTGGTGGCGGGTGTCTGTAATCCCAGCTACTTAGGAGGCTGAGACAGGAGAATTGCTTGAACCTGGGAGGCGGGGTTGCAGTAAGCCGAAATCGCACCATTGCACTCCAGCCTGGGTGATAAGAGTGAAACTCTATCTCAAAAAAAAAAAAAAAAAAACAAAATTAAACAGGTATAGTGGCTTGCACCCATAGTCCCAGCTACTCAGGAAGCTGATGCAGGAAGATCACTTAAGCCCAAGAGGTCAAGGCTGCAGTGAGCTATGATCCCGCCACCAGAGTCCTGCCTTGGTGACAATGCAAGACCCTGTCTCTAAATAAATAAATCAAAAGAAGAAAAACAGCCTACCAGGATTTGGGTTATGATTACATTGAGTCTATGAATCAGATTGGAGAGAACTAACATATTAATAATATCAAGTCTCCTAATGTATGAATATAGTATGCTTCTTCATTTATTTAAGTCTTTTTTCATTTTTCTTGGCTACTGTTTGCTCTCTTCTACTGTTTTTAGTTTTTTATGTAGAAGTCTTGCTTATCTTTGGTTAAACTCATTCCTAGTAATATTATGCTTTTGTTGCTATTGTAAATAGTTCTTTTAATTTTCTATTATTTTGTTGCTATATATAGATATGCAATTGATTTTTGTATATTGACCTTGCAACCTGTGACTGTGCTGAATTCACTTATTAGTTCTAGATTTTTGCAGGCGAAAGTAGATTCTTTAGGATTTCCTACATACGCAACCCTGTGTATCAGTGTATATATCACTTTAAACCATTTAAATTATGTGAACTATATCTCGCCATCCCCCACTAGACTATGTCAGGCATGAATAACTTAACATATTAGCTTATACAAATATTTAATCCACAACTTTATCTGTTGTTCGTTGAATGGAAAACAAAAGATTTCTTCATTTTTCAATTCCTCAGTAAATTATCTAGAGTTGAAAAAGAGCATGTGCTGTTAAAGGCAGAATGATCAACTAACCAATCTCTAGTGAATTCACAGCTGTCGGTAACTTCTTCTAGTTTTTTAGTATGATTTTCTGTATCATAATCAATTTTTGAGTAACTAAGGATTAGGCAATAAATGGGGATTTAACATATTGGCAAGAAACTGCATAGGAAACACTGTAACCTACTGGGTACCTCAAACCGGAAATTGAATTTCTAAATAATTTCACATTATTTTCATTGAAAAAGATTTCTAAATTTTGACCCTTAATATATTTTTTAAACCTCAAAACCACGGTATCTTATTCCAATTTAAAAATTCTAGGCTCAGTAAGAAAAAGAAAAGAAAATTATAGGCTGCGCATGTGGCTCACAGCTGTAATCCCAGCACTTTGGGGGGCTAAACTGGATTGCTTGAGGCCAGGAGTTTGAGATCCACCTGGACAATACAGTGAGACCCTATCTCTATAAAAAATTGTTCTTGAAGCTAATTATTTGTACTCACCCAAACACTGTATCATAATATAAAAAATCACTAAAACTTTTTAAAATAGAGATGGGATCTTACCATGCTACTCAGGCTGGTATTAAACTCCTAGGTTTAAGTGATCCTCCTGCCTTGGCTTCCCAAAAAAATAGAATATTTAGCTGAATCCTAGCATGAGGTCAGGTAAAATCTGGCTAATAGTATTTCCTAGAAGAAAATCACCCGACTCCACCAACCACCTAGGAGTCACAACAGATAGGCCAAGCCCACTTGAACAATAATTAATTAATTATTGTTCTCAACCTAAACAGTATGGTGCAAGTCATATATATGCAATTAGAGCTAATGCATCTTTGATAATATGTCTGGAAAAGTTAAAACAATGGTAACTAGGAAAAGGCTCTGACAGTACAGTTCTGTCAAAAGGATTTTTTTTTTTTTTTGAGATGGAGTTTCCCTCTTGTCTCCTAGGCTGGAGTGCAATGGCATGATATTGGCTCACAGCAATCTCCACTTCCCGGGTTCAAGCGGTTCTCCTGCCACAGCCTCCTGAGTAGCTGGGATTACAGACGCATGCTACCACACCTGGGTAATTTTGTATTTTTAGTAGAGACAGAATTTCTCCATGTTGGTCAGGCTGGTCTCGAACTCCCGACCTCAGGTGATCCGCCCACCCTGGCCACCCAAAGTGCTGGCATTACAGGTTGGAGCCACCATGCCAAGCCCCAAAAGATTTTTTCTTCAAAAAGTTCTATCACATTGTTGATCTTATTCATAAAACAACTGTTTCAAAAAACTTATTTACTTTTTTTTTTTTTTTTGGATACGGAGTCTCGCTCTGTATCCCAGGCTGGAGTGAGTGGTGCGATCTCGGCTCACTGCAAGCTCCGCCTCCCGGGTTCCCGCCATTCTCCTGTCTCAGCCTCCCAAGTAGCTGGGACCACAGGCGCCGCCACCACTCCTGGCTTATTTTGTTTTTGTTTTTAGTAGAGTCGGGGTTTCACGGTGTTAGACAGGATGGTCTCGATCTCCTGACCTCGTGATCCGCCCACCTCGGCCTCCCAAAGTGCTGGGGTTACAGGCGTGAGCCACCGCGCCCGGCCAAAACTTATTTACTTAATCACCAAATTGCCAGTAGAATTTCAAAAATACTTCCCTAACAGAGGAGAAAAATTAAAAATGTAAAACGTATCATTCAATTATATTCCATCATTTGACTTTAGAAAACATATATGAAATTCAGTTTTAAGGGAGGAATATCATGTGGTGGCTCACAGGCACTTTAGGGACTACTTTCCTCTAGCAAGAATATCTCTGCTGCTATAAGAGTTTGGACTTTTGATTTCCTGGTTAACCACTGGTCAATCAGGAGGATTCTGAGATTGTAATCTTTACTGCGGCTTAAGAAAAAGAGGGTGTCTTCACTTGCTTATATGAGCCAGATAGGTGGGCTGATACTTTGGGAGTTTCAGTTAGAATAAAGTCAGGTTAAGACAGGTTATTATTCTATTTTATTTATGATAATAAAATTATATTTGTTTTTTAAAATGTCCTCATCTTTTGGAAATATTGCCTCAAAATAATCTAGGGTGAAAGGAGGATGACTGAAGAGGGATGGATAAAAAAGACTGGCCATGTATCAGTGGCTGAAGCTTGGTGTTGCTTCATTATACTATTCTCTACTTTTGTAATCATGCTTGATAAAATGTTTAAAAGCATTTTATTCAAAATTTCAAATTTTTTCAGATTCTAATCACTATTGAAACTTTAGTGTATAATAGTAAAATCTGTATGGTGACTCACCGGACATTTTCTGGTCTGAGTTTATCGAGAACCATCTCTATTAAGTCAGGTCTAAATTCTTCCAGTAAATATTCTGCTGTGAGTACTTCTTCTAGAGGATAATACTTTTAAAAAGGAAAATATAAATAAGTACACATAGCTACTACATAGTTTATTAAAGCAGATATGTAACACATTAAATTCATTACTGTACACCCTTTCTCCCTTCAATTAAATTTTACTCTATTGGAAAAATTTTCTGTGGCCCTAAATCATTTTCTCTTTCCTACCACATTGTTAAGCAGTTTCATATTGTTTGATGATTCTGCCAAATATACTGTTAATCTCCAAACATACTTCCATTATAGAGAGCAAAATCACATTTCTTTCATGGAAAACCATGAATATTTCTGGTCAAAAATTGAGTACTTGTTAATGAAGAAAATTCGGTAATAAAATGCTGACACCTACAGCATTTTTTAATATAAAGTACACACATTTTTATGAACAGAATTTCCTAAATTTCTATGAAACATACTAGACAAACATTTGGGAAACTGTTGTGGGAAAAAAATGGCTTATATTTTTGACCAGTATAGAAAAACAATGCAGAAGATGCTTTTTGGTAAGAGCAACTTCTAATATTGGTAAGAGCAGCTTCCACACTGACTGATTCATTCATCCAATAAATATTTAATGAACATCTACTCTGTGCCAGGCACTGTTCCACGCACTATGGATAAAACAGCAGGTAAGACACATGAAATCCTTTGTCCTCCAAGAAGTGCACAGACATTGTAATTGGGAGGGAGGCAGACAATAAACAAATATTGTAATTTTAGTGAGAGGTGCTATGAAAACAATAAAAAGGGGGGAGGGGCATTATTTTAGATTGGGAGGTCAGAGAAGGTCTGAGGAGAAGAAATCTGAGGGGAGACTCAAATGATAAGAATCTAGCCAGGCAAAGATCAGATAGAAAAGTGTTTCATGTAGAGAAAATAGCAATCGGGGAGGAATAAACTTAATGTCTGAAAATTAGAGAGCCAGTACAGTTGGAGTGGAATGCAAATGGGAGAGATGGGCTGGACAGTGGTATAGAAGATGGTCAGATAGGCTGGGGCCACATCACTTTGTAGGCCAAGGAAAATTTTGCATTTTATGCCAACTCTGTTGGGAAACCACTGAAGGAATTTAAACAGAGGAGTGAAACATTCAGATTTTAGTTTTCAAAAGATCACAAGGCTGGAAAAATAAACTACAATGGGGACCAAGAGGAAAATAGGGATCCCAGGTAAAAGACTATCATGGTAGCCCAAGCAAGAAATCATGATAGCTCAGACTAGGATGGTAGCAATGGAAATTTTAAAAAAGTAAACAATCAATAGCTTTCACATAAGTAGCACTTGACATGCTGCAGAACTGAAATATATTTAAAGTCAATAAGCAAAATGCGTATTTAACAAAAATATTACAGAAAATAAATTTCAGGATGAAAATTAAGATTTTAAACATATCCTGACATCAACATTTGCCCTGTTGCTACAAAGTTTAAAGTTTTATACCTCAGCTTCAATAATTCACTTATTACTGAAAATAATATATACAAGATTGCTGAAATACTCTACACAGCAATGTATACAGTAAAATAATAAACTTACATGCAATATTCCTGCAATCTTAGATGTATAGCCCCGTGGCCTCTCTTTGTCTTTAAACCTAAAAGCAACAGCATTCAAGTCCTAAAACAGAAAATTAATCCAATTAGATATGTCCACCCTTATTCAGAAACTTTTTTTTTTTAAGTGTTTGGCTTGCACTATAAGCTTGCTACTCCATAAATACTCCATAAACACTTTATCACATTCTGAAAAAATGGCTATGCTTGATTTAGAAATGTATAGAGTATTTAAAAAATTTCTTAACATGTATAAAATTTAATCCATCAACCTAGGCTTAAAACCAAAAACAAAATAGGTAAACAATTTTCAATGAAAATAACAAATACAGGATATGGCTCTATAGCCTAAGTTGTTGAAACTAGTAGCCAAAGAATTTAGAAAAAACTGTGTGAAAGAACCTTGTGAGATCCAACAATTGCACCATAGATGATTTTGGTGACTCATTCAGAGAACACCCAGATTAGGAGTTACTGTCATAATTTTTGGAAGCAGAAATTATATCTTTAAACTTTTATCTAGTTAAAAAGGATGTTTCTCATACTAAAATACATTTGAGAATCTCGATAGGCTTTAAAGCACATATTTTTAAAAACCCATTTTAAAAAGGCTTTTAAAAATTTGAAAGACAAACACCATTTGTTTTATGCAAAAAAAAAAAAAAAAAAAAAAAAAAAAGAGCCAGGCTCTTCCCATACATACAATAATAAAATCACTTTTAATAACACAATCATACATAAACAATTCATTACTTCTTTGAGAGTTTGCTACAGATTTAAAGATCTGAAAATGACAGAGCTCATGCAGCTTTAGGCAGGGAGTAACATAATCCCTGACAGATTCTAGCTCAAGAAACTGCTGATTTTCTTCTGAGCGATGGAAAAGCATTTGATTTCTTCTCTTTTCCATCCTAAAAAGGGCTACATGATGCCTTTCCCCTTAGTTGTGCCCCAAGTAGCAAATCAGACTAGTACAACTAAGCCTTAACTAATACTATTATACATTGCAAAATTTTAGAGTTCAATTAGGAAAAAAACTTTAAAAGTTTAACTGGGCCTTAAATTTAAATTAATTCACAAGTATTTGTTCTTGAAAAATAGATTCCTTAAGAAAAGTTTTGGTGAAACAAAAGTACCTTGCACTCTTGGAAAACCCATTCTTGAGGTCCTTCTGCACGTAACTTCTGAATGTATTGAAACATGTGCAAAATTATATCTTCAACATGTACTGGAAAAAAGGGGCACACTTAAAAACCATTCAGTCCTTGAATCCTTCAAAGCAGTGAGCTCACTCCTAAGGTAAAGTCAGGTAAGTGGAAGATGGTCCCTCTTAGAAAATGCAGTCCTCACCTCCCTGAGACTGGTTTTAGGTGTCCCACACACATGGCCCTCTGGGCTCAGGGATATGTGACAGAAAGGGTGTTGGGGCAGTAAATGAGCAAATAAAAAGCCAAGTCCACATTTAACAAGTGCAACATAATGATCAGTTGTTAAGGGGGGAAGAATCATCCATGAAACAAAGGCCAAGTTACATATGAAAAATATAGTGGATAAGTTGTATGAATTAAAGTGTTATAGCTTTCAACATAAAACAGATCCACAGCAAGAAGAAGTTAAAAAACATCATAGAAAGTAAATTTTCATTCAAAAGTAAAAAGGTGAATCAATACTTACATAATCCTTCCTCGGTCAAGTCCACATTAATGATAAAAAACATAAAACCTCGGGCTCCTTCCTTCTGCCCACCAACAAGAGTATTAACCCAGCCTGCAACATTCAAAGGAAATCAACATGATTGATTGCATATGTGGCTTCTTTGAAACTAAGAAACATTTTAAAAACTCATATTGTATGTTCCTAAGACATGAGAATGAACCTCTTGCAAAAAAGATGGAAGAAAAAAAATCAGTTCAGAAAAGCAGTTTCAGATGGTGCAGAAGTGGGGGCTTTCCTGAAGATTCCTCACATCAATTCCCAGTCAAGAGTAGACTACTGGCTGGGCGCGGTGGCTCATGCCTGTAATCCCAGCATTTTGGGAGGCCAAGCTTGAGACTAGGAGTTTGAGACTAGCCTGGGCAAAATGGCGAAACCCCATCTCTATCTAAAAAAGAAAAAAAAAAAAAAAAAAAAGACAACAGCATGCCAACAACCACCATCTCACTCACTAACCCAAAATGGTCACATCTAAGAATGTTCATTCACAGGACAATATTCAGGAGAAAATGAGAGCCAGAGTGAAAAGATGTGGTGGACACTCAGAAGCTGCTGCCCAGGAGACTTACCCTTTGATTTAAGTTCTGATAACAGACTTCCAGGACCTTCATGCCCAATGAGATGACCAAGATAATGACCAGGATTTGATTTGTAGTATTTCTGAAGGTCAGGTATGGGAAATGTCACATAGAGATTCCTAATATCTTTAATGGGAACTATTTTGTAAAGTTGCTGGAGAAAACAAATCACAGAGATTAGCTATATACAACTCCTACTGAAGAAAATATTTCTAAACTATGAAGAATGATTTTCATGGAAGAATACCAAATTTAAGAGCAAATCAATTGCCACAGAAAATGATACACTGACCACAAATAAATGACTCAGTACTCTCCTAGTGGAATTTCATTACAGTCGGTATATAGTCCATGTTTGACCCCCTGAACCATGCAGCTAAATATTAATGGTTTTGAATGCTTATCTTCAGGTACAGGGTAACAGCTTCAACAGTTATTAAGACTACAGCTACCAAAACTACTTTTAGCATGTAAAGACCAGAACATATTGATATGTTTTTGGTGATTCATGATCCTAATAAATGTGAGATTGATTTTATTATCCTGACAAATATTTAAGACCACATGGGGGCTGGGTGCAGTGGCTCACACCTATAATCCCTGCACTTTGGGAGGCCAAGGGAGACAGACCACGTGAGGTCAGGAGTTCGACCTCAGCCTGGCCAACATGGTGAAACCCCATCTCTATTAAAAATACAAAAATTAGCCGGGCACGGTGGCATGCACCTATAGTTCCAGCTACTCAGGGGGCTGAGGCAGAAGAATTGCTTGAACCTGGGAAGCAGAGGTTGCAGGGAGCCAAGATCGTACCGCTGCACTCCAGCCTGGGCAACAGAGCGTAACTCCTTGTCAAAAAAACAAAAACAGAAACAAACAAACAAAAAAACTACATAGGGGCTGGGTGCAGTGGCTCACGCCTGTAATTCCAGCATTTTGGGAGGCTGACACAGGTGGGTCACTTGAGATCAGGAGTTCAAGATCAGTCAAGGCAACACGGTGAAACCCTGTCTCTATTAAAAATACAAAAATTAGCCAGGTGTGGCAGTGTGTGCTTGTAGTCCCAACTACTCAGAAGGCTGAGGTGGGAGGATCAACTGAGCCAGGGAGGTTAAGGCCTCAGTGAGCCATGATCGCACCACTGCACTCCAGCCTGGGTGACAATGCAAAAACTCTGTTTCAAAAAAAAAAAAACAAAAAAAAACATAAATAATGAAATCTCCAGATTTTCACCTGGTCTACGGTAAACTAGGTATATATATGTCCACAAATTAAGAACACAAAATACCAAAATTTATGCACTTACTTTAAGATGTTCTTCTTGGAAAGGGTGTTCAGGAAATTCTGGCAGTGGGACACTTTTGTTCTCTACTTCAGAAAATAACTTTACCACCAGATTAGTCAAGTCATCTAAAGATTCTACAGGAAAACAGACAAGGAAAACAGAACTTAAGCGAATCGTAACATACAACAGGGAGAGCTTAAAATCTTAGGATCTCCTGAAAAGTCTCAGTACCGCTGAAAGGAAAATGTGAAAATGATTACACCTCACACCTATCTCTATTTAAAAAAATTATTCACAAATATTATTCACAATATTATTTCACAAGTATAATAAAATTAAAACAAATATTAGAAACAATAATTAATTGCGTTTGGAAAAATGACTACGATTATCAACAGGCATATATACTGAACTACTAGCAGAGTATAACATTCACCTTATACATAGATAGAGAATTGCCTTCTATGGTATAAAATTATCTTTTGTGCCTTTAAATGTGAGCATTTGCATTTTATTTATAAAATATGCCTATTTTTACTTCAATTTTTTGACATGTATGAAGGACTCCAAAATGCACATGTTATATATGTGTGTGTATATATATGTGATATTAGCAAAATTCTACTTTTGGAAGTATAACAAGAAATGAGTTAGGTCTTTGAGAAGAGGGCACAGCAGTCATAGGATGGAATAAAGAACAGTTTGCTTTTTATTTTATACTTTTCTGTGTGGAATTAAATTTTTTCCATTTGTACAAATTACTATTATCCTAAAAAGAAAGGAGTATTTAAAAAACCTATCTTTTTTTTTTTTTTTGAGGCAAGGTCTTGCTCTGTTGCACAGGCTGGAGTGCAGTGGCACGATGCCAGCTAACTGCAACCTCCGCCTCGCCTCCCAGGTTCAAGTGATTCTCGTGCCTCAGCCTCCCCAGTAGCTGGGATTACAGGCGTGCGCCACCATGCCCTGTTAGTTTTTTGTATTTTTAATAGAGACAGGGTTTCATCATGTTGCCCAGGCTGGTCTCAAACTCCTGAGCTCAAGTGATCTGCCAACCTCAGCCTCCTGAAGTGCTGGAATTACAGATGTGAGCCACCGTGTCCAGCCAAAACCTATCTTTTTATAAACAAGATAACCTCTCATCTTGATTCTGTCCCCTCAAAAACAGGTTATTTATAAATGGTATAAACATTCATAACCTGTTACTATCAGTAAGCATTTGAATCAAATAAGAATCTTGCCTTGATATTCTATGACCCATTTGGAACTTTTCCATGAATTCTCGGGAGTACTAAATGACTATTTGAGAGCTGCCTTTATATGGTGTAAAATTCTCTTTTGTGCCTTTAAGTGTGGGCATTTGGATTTTATTTATAAAATACACCTACTTTTGCCTCAAATTTTTGACATGTATGATGGACTCCAAAATGTCCAGAGCCAAATAAAAGGCAGACCAGTGGCTGCTTGTTATATGACAAGTGAATTTAGGAATGCAGAGGGAATATTGTAGTAAGAGATGTCAGAGACACCTTTTTGCAGATGGGACATATGACTTGAAACAAGGTGAGCAGTCAATAAAGGTTTGTGGGCCTGCAGTGCTGGTGACAGCAACATCCTGAGCAAGGTTCTAACAGGTGAATCTTTCTTCTTGCATATTTCTACCCTAAAAGCATAAATTCACAGTGTCACTTTTTAAAGGTAATGGAGCTAAACACTACAGCACAGTCTATCTACCCCACTAAACTGTGATCAGGGAACTGAGTCCCACTCACCTTCATATCATCAAGGTTTGGAAACCTCAGTGTCTGCACTTGATGATTACCTACGTGGCAAGTGTTCAGACAGTTAGTGCTGCCACAGCTAGAGAAACAGCTCCAGGCAAGAACAGAAAAACTTCTTTGTACCCTTGTGACAGAGATCCTTCCACATGGTTACTCTTCCTCTCTCCTCCAGCCAAAAGAAGGAGTGGATTATTTTTTAATCCTCTAAGAGATCCAGTTTCCTCCTCATACCTCTGTACTGTAAAGACATCTCTCTCGGGTTCAGCACAGGAAGTCAGTCACAATGGGAGAGTGATGTGTATGGATCAGGGAACTGAGACACTTTATTTTTTAGATACTTATTCTGTCATTTCCACTAAACCAAGAACATTCTGAGGACAGGGCTCAGGTTTGATTCATCTATTGCCATTGTCACTTGCCCATTAAATGCTTACTGAAATCATGTGTTTAATCTCAAATACAACATAGATTTAAACAAACAAACAAACAAACAAAAAAACAGCTTAGGCACCTACCTATTCCCAGGACTGGGTTGTAAACAGTAAGCGATATTTTAACATTCTAAACCCACCTACCTGAAGCAAGCACATAGCATTACAGAGTATGCTTTTTTTAATTGTCCTCTCTCCCTGAACCCATTTTACACCCTGGTTCTTGCTACCAACTTAAAAAAATAGTTTATTTTCTAACTATAAAAGTCACATTTGCCAACAGTAGAAAACTTAGAAACAAAAGCTAAATTATGGTAACAAAAGTTACCATAATTTCATGATTATAAAGATGCTAGAGTGGCTACTACCATTTATGGAGCATTTGCTATGTGCCATACACCATGCTAAACAGTTTTTATTATCTCAATTAAACCTCACAACAGGTACAAGGTACCACCCACCACTTTACAAATGTGAAAACTGAAGTTTGAAAAACTGAAGTAAGTTTGTTAGCTCACAGCCACACAGCTAAGCAAGCGGTATATTTGGAATGAAAAGCCAGGTTGTTGGACTGTGAAATGTGAGTTCTTAACTACTGTACAACATTATCAAATTTCTAGTACATGCTTTCCCATTTTGCCTTTTACCTACACCATATATGGTATATTAGAGTTTTTAGTGTTTTTTTGCTGTTGTTTGTTTTTTGAGATAGAGTCTCACTCTGTTGCCCAAGCTGGAGTGCAGTGGCACAATCTTGGCTCACTGCAGCCTCCACCTCCCAGGTTCAAGCGATTCTCCTGCTTTAGCCTCCCAAGTAACTGGGATTACGAGTGCCTGCCACCATGCCTGGTTAAGTTTTATATTTTTAGTAGAGATGGGGTTTCGCCATGTTGGCCAGACTGGTCTCAAACTCGTGACCACAAGTGATCCACTTGCCTCGGCCTTCCAAAGTGCTGGAAATACAGGTGTGGGCCACTGTGCCTGGCCCCTATTAGAGTTTTAAAAAATTTGGGGGGAGGGATATGTCTTAGAATTTTTAATAAATCCCCAAATGGGACCATATAGCACATATTTTTGTAAACAGCTTTTGTTTTCTCTTTAATATATTAAGAACATTAAAAAATATACAATATATTCTTATATATAATATACATGTATTAATTTAAAATGTTTTGTATTTATATATGCATACATAAGAATATATATTCATATATATGAGAATATATTAAGAATATCTTCCCATGATATTAAAATGCTGTCATAAAACTGTTTATTCGTTCAATATACATTTACCTATGATGAGCCAAGCACGAAGCACGAGCCCAGGTACTAAGGATAAAGCAGTGAACAAAACAGTGTCTACTCTCAAGTAATTTACATTTTGGTAGGGTGGACAACAAAAACACACAAACATTTAATACCTGAAGTATTAATAAATACTATAAAGAAAAAGCAAGATGGAAAGCAGAATAAGAAATGCTATTTTTCTATAAGATATTCTATTTTACAATTATAAAATCAGTATTTAGCGAATTTCCTATTAACATTTAGATTGCTAAATTTTTACTAATATATACTATACTGACAGAAACATCCTTTTATATCTCTTATTTGAACTCTGATTATTTCCTGAGATTGCATTTTTAAAAGTAAAAATGCATATTTACTTTTAAGACTGATATTGTTAAACTGCCCTCCAGAAAGACTAAAGCAACTGATACCACTATTACCAATACAAAAAAGCAACACCATATGCAGTGGGTATTACTTAAAAACAGCAGGAAACAATGTTAGTAGTTAATTTGCATTTTAAAAATCAAACCGTTGTTTACATTCCAAACAGTCTCCCAAGTTTACCATCATCTGTTTTTTTGTTTTTTTTTCCCCAGTTTTTTGAATTGTTATAAGGTCAAATCTGCCAATCTTTGTCCTTTTTGTGTGTATGTGTGTGTTTTTTTTAACATGGGATCTCTCTCTGCCACCCAGGCTGGAGTGCAGTGGTGTGGTGATCACAGCTCACTGCAGCCTTTAACTCGTGGGCTCAAGGATCTTCCTCCTTCAGCCTCCCTAGCAGCTAGGACTATAGCTGCAGACTACCACATCCCGCTAATTTAGAAAAAAATTTTTTTGGTAGAGACAGGATCTTACTATGGTGCTCAGGCTGGGCTTGCCTTGCTTTTATATGCTTAGAGCACCTATTACTGTAGTAATTTGTATTTTTTTCAGATCTCCACTTAAACTTCTTTGGGGAACACAATGATTTAAACATAAAAATCCCCACCTACCTATTCTCTAACAAGTAGATCATTTTCAAAGGACTCTGAGCAAATAAGCACCTCTATCTTATATCCATCTTCTAATACTCTGAAAAAGCCAACATGAAAAACTTACATTATCCAACTCTATAAAAAATTGTAAGGGTTCTTACCTCGACCTAAAACACAAACAGCCATTAAATTGGATGAATAGTAAGTAGAATGGAATTTCAGTAGCTCTTGTCTTACATCAATGCCTTCTTGGTTTGGTCTAGTCTCCAGAGTATATTTGTTACCTGGAAGGGAAGAACAAGGCATTTTTTAGAAAAAGCAAAATATGTGGACTTTTAAAGTTTTGTAATTATCACCGCTATTCCTTAAGATGAACTCTAAAAATAGAGTTCTAATACACATAATAACTCAAATTTATTTGAATGTTAAGTGAATAAACAGGACAACAGTACAAACCAGCAACGTTTTAAACTATAGTCTTCTCTACGGAATTAAAAGTGTCTTTGTTTGTTTGTTTGAGAGGAAGTCTTGCTTTGTGGCTCAGGCTGGAGTGCAGTGGCGCGATCTCGGCTCACTGCAAGCTCCGCCTCCTGGATTCTCACCATTCTCCTGCCTCAGCCTCCTGAGTAGCTGGGACTACAGTCACCCGCCACCACGCCTGGCTAACGTAGAGACGGGTTTCACTGTGTTAGCCAGGATGATCTCGATCTCCTGACCTCGTGATCCACCCGTCTCGGCCTCCCAAAGTGTTGGGATTACAGTCGTGAGCCACTGTGCCCAGCCTTTTTTTTTTTTTTTTTTTTTTTTTTTTGAGACAGAATTTCGCCTTTGTTGCCCAGGCTGGAGTGCAATGGCGCGATCTCAGCTCACCCCAACCTCCACCTCCCAGGTTCAAGTGATTCTCCTGCCTCAGCCTCTCTAGTAGCAAGGATTACAGGCATGCGCCACAACACCTGTCTAATTTTGTATTTTTAGTAGAGACGGGGTTTCTCCATGTTGGTCAGGCTGGTCTTGAACTCCTGACCTCAGGTGATCCGCCTGCCTCGGCCTCCCAAAGTGCTGAGATTGCAGGCCTGAGACACCAAGCCCGGCCTAAAAGTGTCTTATAAAAATTATACTTTTGGCCAGACTTGGTGGCTCAAGCCTGTCATCCCAGCACTTTGGGAGGCCGAGACGGGCGGATCACGAGGTCAGGAGATCAAGACCATCTTGGCTAACACGGTGAAACCCCGTCTCTACTAAAAAATACAAAAAACTAGCCGGGCGAGGTGGCGGGTGCCAGTAGTCCCAGCGACTCGGGAGGCTGAGGCAGGAGAATGGCGTAAACCCGGGAGGCGGAGCTTGCAGTGGGCTGAGATCCGGCCATTGCACTGCAGCCTGGGCGACAGAGCCAGACTCCGTCTCAAAAAAAAAAAAAAAAAAATTATACATTTGGCCAGGTGTGGTGGCTCACGCCTATAATCCAAGCACTTTGGGAGGCTGAGGCGGGTGGATCGCCTGAGGTCGGGAGTTCAAGACCAGCCTGACCAACATGGAGAAACCCCGCCTCTAATAAAAATACAAAATTAGCCAGGTGTGGTGGTGCATGCCTGTAATCCCGGCTACTTGGGAGGTTGAGGCGGGATAATCACTTGAACCCGGGAGGCAGAAGTTGCAGTGAGCCGAGATCGCAGGGAGCTGGGATCGCACCAATGCACTCCAGCCTGGGCAACAAGAGGGAAACTCTGTCTCAAAAAAAAAAAATAAATAAATAAATTATACTTCTTTGCTGGGCACAGTGGCTCACACCTGTAATCCCAGCACTTTGGGAGGCCAAGATGGGTGCATCACCTGAGGGCAGGAGTTCAAGACCAGCCTGGCCAACATGGTGAAACCCCTGATTAAAAATAAAAAAATCAGCCAGGCATGGTGGTGGGCACCTGTAGTCTCAGCTACTCGGGAGGCTGAGGGATGAGAATCACTTGAACCTGGGAGGCGGAGGTTGCAGTGAGCCAAGATCGCACCACTGCACTCCTGGGCAACAGAGTGAGACTGTCTCAATAAAATATGTCTGTATCTGTATCTATATTTCCACTTCTTAAAATCTCTATGAGATAGCAGGTATTATGAGCGCTTAAAAGACAAAGTAAGATCCACATGGCCTCCATTCATGCTTATTTTAATTTTCAATTCTCTATGTACTCCATAATTAATTGAACACAGTCACTGAGGGATTTTTTGGAACTTGCCAAGTTACTTGTGGAAAGAAATTCACTATTTTGGGCCAAAGTATTAAATTTGTGATGTGAATTCTCATAGATGTGATCTAGACTGGTTAAAAAAAGGATACAATGCTATTTTTATAACTCTCCAGCGATGTATGTAGTGAACCACTAACAGTTCTCATGAAATCTTAATAACTAATTCAAGTAGGGTAAAATATGTAAGTCAAAAACAAATAGTCAAATTCTCTAAATAATACCTTGCAAATTAGAGACTGGAAGATGAAATTCCAATCATCAGTGTCTCTCCAAAATGGCATTTTGACCGGAAATATCCTAAGATCCTGGCACAATAACTTTTATTATTGGTTCTACTTACACTACTGAGATCCTGTCTTTCTTCTGCAGAGATAAAACTATGGGAGAGTATGTTCTTGATGTAGTTTAATATTTTTTTTCGTGTTGTTATAATACCTGATACAGGGGCACTGGGAAAGTCCCTTTCATGAAATTGGATGTCTACAGAAAGCCACCAGATGGCGCTCTCAAACTCAGTCTTCAGCTCAGTAGTGCTGCACAGCACTGAGTAAAGAAAGATTCCTGTCCCAGAATGCTTAACAGATCCAGTGAAGAGAAAATGTGCAAGAAACAGCCTAGCAAGTAACCTTAATCTTAACTCATTAACCTTTTCCTAGTCACAAAGTAATCACATACTTTCATACTCCCTAGACGTAGCTTATCACCCAAGTTTCCAGGTTGTTCCTGTTTTTAAGATAGGGTCTTACTCTGTTGCCCAGGCTACACTGCAGTGGTATAATCACAGCTCACTACAGCCTCGACCTCCTGGGCTCAAGATCCTTCTACCTCAGCCTCCAAAGTAGCTGGGACCACAAGCATGTGCCATCACGTCCAGTTTTTTTTTTTTTTTTTTTTTTTTTTTGGTAGAACCAGGGTCTATGTTGCCCAAGTTGGTTCCAGGTTCTTAATTAGTCCTCTCAATTTCTCACTGAAGACGAGCTGAAGCTGGGCACAGTGAATCATGCCTGTAATCCCAGCGCTTTGGGAGGCCAAGGCAGGCACATCACTTGAGGCCAGGAGTTCAAGACCAGCCTGGCAAATATGCCTATCATCCCAGCTACTCAGGAGGCTGAGGCATGAGAATGAAACCAGGAAGGCAGAGACTGCAGTGAGCCAAGATCGCACCACTGCACTCCAGCCTGGGTGACAGAGTGAGACTCCGTCTGATTAACTGATAAATAAATAAATAATATAAATAAATAAACAAACAAATAAATAAGACCTAGTTCTGCTTTACTGCCCAAAGAGGTCCTGAGACATTCTCTCACTCTACCTGAGGGGTCCAGATGCTCTTAGATGCATACCCATAGTCCTAACTCCTTAGGAAAAAAAAAAAAAAGGCCTTTCGCTGGAGAATGTTTGAAGTTCTCTCATATCAAGGGGAAATTTGAGTATTGATGATGCCTTTCTTTTCTACTAAATGAAGATTCTAAAAGCCACAGTTCCAGATGGAGTTTTGCTTAAGCTCCTTAGTGCTTTACACTGCCATCTAGGCTCACTGCAACCTCCACCTCCAAGGTTCAATTGATTCTCCTGGGGCCAGATATCTTCTGACTGCATAGCCTTGAACAAGTTACTTTACTTCTCTGTGGCTCAATCTCCTAAACTGACATTAGTGGGCTTACAGTACATAGTAAGAAAAATACATGTAAAAAAAGCGTAAGACTATTACTTAACAAAAATGTTAAAGTCTTATGACACCAACTGTTGTTTAGTATGCAGAGAATGAGAACTCAGACACTGCCTGAGGGAGTGCATCTTGGATCAATCGCTACAGGAAACATTCTAGTCAATTTGAAGATGTCCATATCCTACTACATAGTAATTCCACTCCTGGATATATGTATCCAGAGGAGTCTGTGTACAAGGAGACATGTACAAGAATTCCACAGTAACACTGTTTCATTAACAGGAAAATGGATAGTGGTACATTCATTCAGTGAATTTTTCAAAGAGCAATAAAATACAAAAATTATCAGAGGAATACTCATCAATATGGACAATTCTTACAAAACAAAATGTTGAATGAAAAAATACAAGCAGCAGAGATTACATACAATAAAATACTATTTCTATGAAACACAAAAACATATAAAACTATAAACACGGAAATGATAATCATTAAAGAATATAGTGGTTATCTCTCAGGAGCAGGGAGGAAAATGCAATTGAAGTGTACGCCGGATGCTCAAAGTGCATTTGTAACATTCTTTCTTTAAGCAGTGTGACCGGGAATGATCTCGCAAATGTCTGTGTACCTACCTCTTTGTATGACAACTACATCATACATCTGTAAAAATACTGAAATATTGGCTGGGCGCGGTGGCTCAAGCCTGTAATCCCAGCACTTTGGGAGGCCGAGACGGGCGGATCACGAGGTCAGGAGATCAAGACCATCCTGGCTAACACAGTGAAACCCCGTCTCTACTAAAAAAATACAAAAAACTAGCCGGGCGAGGTGGCGGGCGCCTGTAGTCCCAGCTACTCCGGAGGCTGAGGCAGGAGAATGGCGTGAACCCGGGAGGCGGAGCTTGCAGTGAGCTGAGATCCGGCCACTGTACTCCAGCCTGGGCGACAGAGCGAGACTCCTTCTCAAAAAAAAAAAAAAAAAAAAAAAAAAAACTGAAGTATTTAACATAATACTTAATGAATAAACAACAGAAAATAAACAACAAACAGTAGCTACTGCTGTTACAATTTGAATTGTAGGAAGGACACTTGGCTTCTGAGTGGATCATTAAATAAAAAGATGTACTCACCAAGGAAAAAAATAGATTGTGGCTAGAAGCTGAGTAAATGGTCCAGATGACTGCCCCCCAACAACTAAGAATCCATGTATGGAGAACAACGTGAATAAGACTGGGATAAAAAATACCAGTTTAGTCTCTAGACACATACTGTCCTAATTATGGAGGATCAGGGTTGCTCACCTACTGGGACCCTTCCACTCTAGGCCTGCTAGGAGAGAACACTGCCTTGGCATTAAGAAATTCAGGGATTCTTGT